CAGCGCGCACGGCCATAGCAAAAATCCTGAACCCCTAAACCCCAAACCCCAAACCTTCGCGCGCACGATTGTTGATGTGACGGAGAATTGAGATTTGCTTCAAGCAGGTTGGCAAAGACCCAAGAAGCGTTTGGGGCCATTGTTGCTTTCCGGCTGAGGCTGTCGGGTTACTGTCCTTTGTGCTATAGCCACCCCCTACGTGAGGATATTAGGGTGGGGGGAGTCATAGTGGGAAAATATGCTTCCTCCTCCTATAAAAAGGGGAGTGGTTGGAAATAGGAGGAAATCCAGGAAAAAATAGGAGGAAAATGATAGAACAGAAAGAGATAAGTTCCAAGTCTGTCAGGATCTGTCAGGCACCGCGCTAAGGCNNGCAAGGGCACCGGAAGGATGCGGAAAGCGGAAGTAGCCTGAGCCTCCCACTGGAGATAGCGGGAGGCAAGGGGCAAAGAAGGTGGAAGGAGCCCCAGCCTCCCACTGGAGATAGTGGGAGGGCAGCGGAAGCAGCGGAAGCGCAGTCTGCCCACTCCCCCCTCACCCCCACCCCCCAACCTGTAATAGGAAATTCTCCTATTTCGTGCCCATCTCACACCCCCCCCCTAGATAAGGGGTGGTTTTTTGTGCTGGATCTATTTTCTGCAGGGTGCTCATGAATAGTCGGATGCCAGGTGTAGTTTATTTGCCGTGTTAGCTCCCAGATTTTGTTTAATAAAACCCCAATAGGTCCTTAACATTACCAATATATATATAACCCATTAGAATAGTTTCAATTTTCTTTTCCCTATCCCAATATAACCCCAAGGGACTGTTGCACGAGCTTGAGGCCCCCCGGCATTCTTGCTTACAGATGCCCTGATGGTCCTCGAATTCCCGTAACAGTCCAGTATGTGCAGAAGAACATTACACGTCGAAAGTCTAGTTGGTTTGCATTTGGCGTGCGATGTAATAAAATACATCGTGCAAATCTCTAGGGGCTCTAGTGCATGGTACTTCATGTGCGATCATTCGGTCCATTTGACATTGTGCAAATAGGTAGGGAAATTCGTATTGCAAGCCATTCACGTCGTACTCCCTTCAGAAGTTGGGCATCATATAGTCCTTATTTATTACCGATATAGCCCTACGTAATCCCTATAACATGCCTAAAAAACCACATATACTACCCCCTAAATAATACCTATAAAAGTGGAATTGAGCCGGTAAGGGCAGATGACAAGTGCTGCTGCATGATTAGCTACAAGGCTTGGGGGTTTCGCCTGTGGGCAGTTTCATGTAGTGCGAAATGACGGTGACGGGCAGCTTTTACCCCATGTTGTTCTACAGTTGCGTCTATTATTACCATTACTATTCGTAATTTCCATTTTCTTTTCCATTATCCCTTTATAACCCCAATATATATAACACTATGATGGGTATTGTTCCAATACTGAGTTCTCAGCGTCCCCAGCTTTAAACTCTTGATGTTGTGCTCTCATTCAACAGCTAGTCAAGCTGCGAATTGGTAGATCAATCCCAACCGAAGCCTTAAACCCTAAACCCCAAACCCTAAACCGTTGTGATTCTTGAGTGCTTGATGGAAGCAGTTTGGCTCAGGAACATCTAAACCTTGCAATGCTGAAGCCAGTAGATATGACCAGTTCCAACTTCAAATGCGTAGTATTTTATTTGGGGATACTATGGTACCCAATATAGAGTAAGATTCTATCCTCCTTTTGGGGTATAGTATTTGATATAAGGAATATAATCTTACTGGGTTTAACTACCAAAAAATGCTACTCAAATGCCCTCCATTTTGCGGGATCCCGACAGTCTGACTCTACATTCAGTTTGTGTTCTCAGTACATGGGCCCCAAGTTCTGAACCCCAAAACCCTACCCCAAACCCCCAGACCCCTAAACCCCTAAACCCCCCAAACCCCTAAACCACTAAAAGCCCCAAACCCTTAAACCCCCTAAACCCCAAAAGTCCCAAACCCCTAAACCCTTAAACCCCTAAACCCCCAAACCCCTAAACCCCTAAACCCTAACCTGTGCGTGGCTATGCCTCACCTAGCAGCGCATGGAGGCGCGAAGACATTCCTGCACAGGGTCTGGTAGTTTCCTAAAATTGTTTAGGGTTTAGGGTTTAGGGCTTAGATTTAGGCCCCATATAGACCCCAGTATACATGAACTCGAGTGTACATTGATCCCTACTATGGTTTGACGGTACAGGGCGGAAACTACTGCAATATGCAGGGTTTAGGGTTTGGGGATATTACCCCAACAGCGGGGAATCAAAGCGAAAAAAAATGGAAAATGACCTGGAAGCTACTTTATGCAATGCAGGGTTCTATGGGGATTATTGATGCTGCCATTCACCTCAAGTTCTTTCAGCAAGTGCAGAGGAGCTGTGTTTGCAGCCCTTCTCCGCGGGCCACTCAAAAATAGGATCGCAAATCGGCAATTCGTTCCACCATTCTGTCTTTGCCCAAGAAAGCTTGCTGTAGAGTTCAAGTCAGGAGGAGGGAAACACCACAAACTCTACTTTTGAGCGCTCCTACCTTCGGAAATCCCGGGCCCTGAATCCATGCGCGTCCAAATTATGTCATGAAGCCCAGATTCGGAATTTGGCCGCAGTTCAAGTTTGATGCTGGGAGTATTTGAATCGAGACTTTGAAGATGAAGGGTTAGGAGCAACAGTGGATAATAACCTTATATAACCCCCCATAGATTACCCGATATATTCCCTTATATTATATATTACCCTATATCTTACCCCTATATGACTACTAGAGAATATCCCGAATCTTCCTGCAAAGGATGCTGTGTGGCTGGAGGCTGGTGCGAGGAGCAGTTTGGATGTGGCAATGTTGAGCTGTTGAGCTGACACTCTGAGTTTGCCCATGGTCTCATTCGAACACCCGAAGCCTCCGAAAACGAGAGCTGATTGTATGTGTTGAAAAGCCACCAACCCTAAACCATAAACCCTAAAGGCCCTAAACCCTAGTTTGGTGTTGGGGTATTTCAGGCGGGTGGAGGTCAGCTCAGAGAGGTATGCTATCCATGGTGCGCCATTCAAGCTTTTTATCTGCAGCAGTGTGCGCAGGAGTTGGCGCCTCGCTCGATGGACGCAGAGCCGCTGGCGATTCCAGGCTTGCTGAAGTGTCCTCAACCAGATGAAACGTTTGGACATTAAGCGCCGGATTACTATCCAACGTTGCATCTAATCGACTCTTCTTGATCTATTTCGGCTTGGTGGCTGACATCCACAGCACTTGCTTTGGCCCTAGACTCTTGGACCCCGAAGCTAAGAATCTAAACCCTAAACCCCAAAACCGTGAACCCAACACCCTAAGCCCCTAAACCCTAAACCCTCAACTCCACTTGGCAATCATACGAGTGAAGGGTGCCGTGGGTGCCTTGTGGTGGTAGGCGGGCTCCGAGATGTTGTTGCCTTCATCGTGCGGCGGCCGTGGCCTCAGGTGGTATCGTCCCCCTTAAGTAGATACAATATAGGGTTTACGGTTAAGGGTTGCCCCCCTCATCCCCGTTACCTGTCTGGCAGGAGTTTCATCATGCTGAAGATGATACGTGTGCCTGGGCCCTTGCTGCACTCCTCTCAAGTTCTAAAGCTGGTGATTTAGTTTAGCGCAATGGCATTGCTGGAAGAACTGGTGTACTGTCTATGCGTGGGTGACAGCGGGAGTGTTCCAGTCTGTGGATGGGTGATTGAAGAGCAGGGCGAAGATCTGATTTTGGGAACGGTTCCTGTGTCGGGCGTTGGCAACGCGGAGCAGGTGAAAGTCGGTTCCCGGGATATCGGTTTTGTTCGCGTAGCTGCAGACAGCGTGAGCAGACAATTACCCTCTGATTGGGCGGGGGTCAAGGCGAGTCAGTTGCCTGACCTGGGCTCCTGCAAGGCGGCATGGAAGAAAGTCACCAAGGCGATCCAGAGCAGCGAAACCGAGCCGGTGGCTGTGGAGGTGCGAAAGAGCACGCGGCCAAAGGGCTTGGCGGCAGAGCTGGCGGGGCTTCAGAGCCTTTTCAGCAAGGGCGGCGGGGACGACGACGACACAGAAGACGACGACGAGGACCTGCCGCCAAGAGCCTCAAAGAGTGGTTTCCTAGCACCAGGTCATGTGGGATCCGATCAGGGCAAGGGCCGGGCTCGGACAAAGGGCAAGGAGGAAGAGCCCGACTTCATGTAGCGGCGCTCTCGGCAGGACAGTCCCCCTCGGACCTGATGCCAATCATGATGCTGTCGATGCTCCTGGACAAGGACCGGGGAAGCAAGGGGCGGAAGGACCGCGGTCGCAGTTCGAGAGACGACTTGGGTGTCCTTGGTGGTTCCGCCTCAGAGAGCTCAAGCGAGGACGAGTCCGGGGGTCGGGGCATGAAGGCGATGAATACCCTTCATCGCATGCACCGCCAAATCAAGGAGCGGCCGCGGCGAGTTTGCGAACTCTTCGAGCGGGAGGTGATCGAGGAGTTGGGCATTGTGAAGGGCCAAGCTTGGACTTTGCGGGACTATGTGAAAAAGCAGCAGTGGGGCAAGTTCAAAGGGATCTTCCGTACGGCAATGATGGACGTTGCTGTGTACGAGAGGCTGAGGGCCAACCAGCCCGACGTAGCCGCCGCTCAGGTGGTTCAAAATCTCAAAGCAAAAATCCAGTGTGCGCTCCAGGGAGGCGAGTGGACCTCGGCATGGCTTCTAACAGGACTGGCCGATCCATTACATCGCAAAGACTTTGCCGGGGCCAAAGAAGAGATGAGCGTAGTGTCCGGTTATCTCGATGCCCTGCAGAAGCTCCAAAAGAGGATGAAAGACACCAAAGGAAACCACGTCGACGAGGACGAGGGCCCGGCAGCTCAGGGCAGCGGGGCCCGGAAGTGAAGCTGGACACTGGTTTGCATGGTGGGCCGAGCCCTTTGCTGCGAGGCCCTTCCTCGAATTCACCATTCTCTTGGTTCGAAGGCGTCCAAGGTTATCTGCTGGAATTGTCTGGCACGGCTCCGCTTTTTCCATGTGTGCTACCGTACCCAGAGATAATCTGTTCAGGGGTGGTTTTGGCTGGGCTTCCGATGGGGAGATTGTGGGCAATGCGGTTCCTGAATTCTTGGGTCTGCTGGTCCAACTTTGTTTCCTTGATTTGTCCGACTGATGGTGGCCCTATGAGCCGCGAGGTGGCTATCGGTGTCTTGCTGACATCAGGCTTTTGGCCGATAAGCTCCTTGGCGAGGTGGAAGAATTTGCTAGTCCTGAATTGCTACATGGTTCTCTGTCATGCGAAGGCAAGCGGGGAGTCATTGATGAGTTGCTTTCTCAGGTTTCTTGTACAGTTGGTGCATGTTATGGAGACCTTCGGGGTCCTCAGGGTCAGGAGGCTGGGTTACCCACTCTTCCTGTCAAAGCCGATCGGATCGCTGTGCCGGAGGTGGCTGGGATGGTTGATCCTTGCGAGTGGCTCGATGAAGATCGGGCGATGGTGGTGAGGAACTTGGACAAGCTTCGCTTGCCCGAACATCAGTGGGAGGAGGTAGTGAAGGCTTTCCATCAAGTGCCTCCTGAGGAAGAAGACCGGGTGGTGCGAAAGTTGCTGCGCACTGGGATGGGCAGGCTCCTTCCAGAATCTGAGCTTCCTAGAGATTCGCGAGGGAGACTGTTGGTAGGTGGTCTGTTCTCGGTGCTGAAGAATGAGCGGGAGGACCGTCTGATTTTCGATAGAAGACCAGAGAATGCCACGATGACTCGGCTCAGGTGGGCGAAGTTGCCTGCGGGGCCTGCTTTGCCAAGCTGCTCCTCGACGAGTGCGAGTTTCTGCGGGGATCCGGTGACGACCTCAGAAATTATTACTACATGCTTCGTTTGCCAGAGAACTGGATCAAGTACAATTCGGCTGGGCGCAGGGTTTCGTCTGCAGTGTTAAAGGAGTTCTCTTTGGATCGCATGGGCGACAAGAACGGCTGTGATGTGGCTCAGGCTGTGCATGAGGCGCTGCTTCGCAGGCATGGGGTGCTGAGGCCAGAGAACACTTTGCACTATGGTGAGCACTTGCCCGAGGGAGACTTTCTGGAGGGTGTGTACCTAGACGACCTGTTGGTGGTGAAAAGGTGCAAGCTACCTGAACCCATTCCCCTTGATGGCTCCTTCGTTGCCCCCGCTCCTCAGGCTGATGACGCGGATGTGATGACGGTGCAGGCTGCGGAGGCTGCCTATGCCGAGGCCAAGTTGCAGCGTGCTGAGCATAAAGCTTTCAGACAGTGCACCTCTTTCAAGGCTTGGGGGGCAGAGATCAATGGAGTGCGAGGCTTAGTCGGGAGTCCACTAGAAGTGCGTCGGCAGGTGTGGCACCTTATACAGAAAGTCGTGGTAGGTGGATGGGCCTCTGTGGATGTCCTCCGGAAGGTCGCTGGATATCTCTCTTTTGCCTTTCAATATCGTAGAGAATTCTATAGTTTGAAGCATCACTTGTACAAGTTCGTGGCCAGGATGAAGCGAGATCGCTGGGTTCGCCTACCGGGACACATCCTTGACGAGCTTCGCGCTTGTGCCCTACATCTCCCATTCGCGCAGTGGAACATGAGAAAAGCATTGAGTCAGACTGTAATGGCGACTGACGCAACCCCAACGTCAGGTGGCTGCGTATCTGCTTCGATCACGAAGGAGCTCAGTCAGGCCCTCTGGCGACACACGGAGGTTAGGGGGGAAGCCACTCGTCTTGACAGGTCCGAATTCTTGGAGTTGCAGAAGGAAGCTCCGCGGGAGGCATCACGGTTTGCAAGTACCATCTCAGAGTGCTTGGAGTGGAAAGTTGAGAGCAGCTACACGTTCAGACAGACTTCCCACATCAACTTGCAGGAGGCTCGTGCTTTGAAGAAGGAGGTTGCTCGCTTGGCTGCGGACCCAGAGTACCAGAACCACGTGATCATCTTTTTGAATGACAGCTTTGTGGTAACTGGGGCTTGTGCAAAGGGTCGATCTTCCTCGTATAAGTTGAATGGGATTTTGCGAGCTATGCTTCCACACATGGTGCTGGGGGGGCTTACCCAGAGCTTCCAATATTGCT